AGGGGTTGTTGAACGATACAGATAGGCCTCAACTTACGACCATTTCTTTAAGGGACTGTTCGAAGTTACAACAGGTCTGAAAAATGTGACTTAATGACCATTTTTCGCACTTAGCCAACGTCTTTTAACGACCCGATAATCCCTTGTGAGGTGGAGTCTGGGCGACTGAATGGAGCTAGCAGAGTATTTAGTGGCCGGATGCCTTTCCCTGTTGCCAATGTGGAGTTTTGTTCAGCAGATATATATTCTCATTGTGCCTGGAGAGAGAAATATCTGTCTCTACCTCCTAGGATCGAAGTCACAGCCTCGATCGTGAGGTGAGAACTCCACCTTTATGCCACTGCAACTCTCGGTTTTTCGCACTTAATGACCATTTTTCGCACTTAGCCAACGTCTTTTAACGACCCGATAATCCCTTGTGAGGTGGAGTCTGGGCGACTGAATGGAGCTAGCAGAGTATTTAGTGGCCGGATGCCTTTCCCTGTTGCCAATGTGGAGTTTTGTTCAGCAGATATATATTCTCATTGTGCCTGGAGAGAGAAATATCTGTCTCTACCTCCTAGGATCGAAGTCACAGCCTCGATCGTGAGGTGAGAACTCCACCTTTATGCCACTGCAACTCTCGGTTTTTCGCACTTAATGACCATTGTAAAATCCCTTTAGTCACGTGATCAAAATCCAGCCAGCAACTGACTCATATTTATCACGGTTTCAGTGTTCCTGAGTCACGGGATTCCCCTTTTTTATGACCTTCTAAGGGAAGCCAGACTCACTTAACAACCGTGTGCCTGACTTAACCACGGTGGTGATTCACTTAACCGCTGTGGCCAGAAAAGCTTGAAAGAGGGAAGTGGGGGGAGATAGAGAAAGGGAAGGGACAAAGGAAGAAAAGATGGGGAGGGAATGAAAGAAGGAAGGAAGGGAAAGGAAAGAAAATGGAGCAAGTGAGGGGAGGAAGAAAAGAGGGAAAGAAGGAAAAGAAAGGGAAAAAAGGAGGGAAGGAACGGAAAGAAGAAAAGCGGAAGAAAATAGAGCGAGTGAGGGAAGGAAGGAGGGAAAGAAGGAAAAAGGGAAGAAAATGGAGGGAAGGAAGGAAGGGAAAGAAGAAAAAGAAAGGAAAGAAAATGGGGAGAGGGAGGGGAGGAAGAAAGGAGGGAAAGAAGGAAAAGAAAGGGAAAAAAGGAGGGAAGGAACGGAAAGAAAAATGGAAGAAAATAGGGAGGGAAGGAAGGAGGGAAAGAAGGAAAAGGGAAGAAAATGGAGGGAAGGAAGGGAAAGAAAGGAAAGAAAATGGGGAGAGGGAGGGGAGGACGAAAGGAGGGAAAGAAGGAAAAGAAAGGGAAGAAAAGGAAGGGAAGGAAGTAAGGAACGGAAAGAAGAAAAAGGCAAGAAAATGGAGTGAGGAAGGGAAGGAGGGAAAGAAGGCAAAAGGGAAGAAAATGGAGGGAAGGGAAAGAAGAAAAAGAAAGGGAAGAAAATGGAGAGAGGGAAGGAAGAAAGGAGGGAAAGAAGGAAAAGAAAGGGAAGAAAATGGAAGGAATGAAGGAAGAGAAAGAGGAAAAAGAAAGGGGAAAAAGGGAGGAAAGGAAGGAAGGGAAAGAAGAAAAAGAAAGGGAAGAAAATGGAGAGAGGGAGGGGAGGAAGAAAGGAGGGAAAGAAGAAAATGGAGGGAAGGAAGGAAGAGAAAGAGGAAAAAGAATGGGAAGAAAATGGAGGGAAGGAAGGAAGGAACTCTGGCAAGAAAAGTCCTAAAATGGGGCAAAAGTGGGTTTCATATTTTGTTACCATCAGGTTGCCCGCACACGCCCCGCTCACTTCCCCTTCCGCGCATGTGCCCGGCTTCCGGGCATGCGCTTTGCTTGCGCACGGGATTCCGCACATGCGCCTGGCCTCAAAAAACATGCCTAAATAGGACGGCATAGAGCCGGGGCAGGTGGGCAGGCCCACCCGTGATTTCTGCCACCGGTCCGGGCGAACCGATCTGAACTGTCTGGATCTCAACCTCTGGTCAAAACTCCAGACTCCGTGACCGGAAGGCAAGGGAGAGGTGGATCTGTGATATTCCGAATCAGCCAGCAGATGGCAGCAGTGGTGCTGCAGAAAGATCTGGCTGAGAACCTCAAGTGAAGAATTGATTCTGCCTTTTTCCTTTCTTGTTTTCTTTTCTTTAAAATCTCTGCTTTCCAGCAACTTCACTTCCTTCCTTCCTTGCTTCCTTCGTCCCTCCTTCCCCTCTCCTTCCCTCTCATTTTATTCCCTTTTCCTTCTTCCTTTCCTCCCTCCCTTCCCTCCCTTCTTTCCTTCCTTCCTTTCCTCTCATTTTATTCCCTTTTCCTGCTTTCTCTCCTCCCTTCCCTTTTCTTTTTTTCTTTCCTCCCTTCTTTCCCTCCCTCCTTCCCTTCCTTCTTTTCTTTCCTTCCCTCCCTCCTTCCCTCCCATTTTCTTCCCCTTTCCTTCTTTCTCTCCCTCCCTTTTTTCCTTCCCTCCCATCTCCTTCTTTCCTCCTCCATACACCCATCTCCTTCCTCCCTTCTTTCTCCCCTCCCTCCTTCCCTCTCATTTTCTTCCTTTCCTTCTTTCCCTCCTCCCTCCCTTCTTTCCTTCCTTCCTTTCCTCCCTCCTTTCCTCCCATTTTCTTCTCTTTTCCTTCTTTCTCTCCCCCCTCCCTTCCCTTTTCCTTTTTCTTTCCTTCTTTCCTTCCCTCCCTCCTTCCCTTCCTTCTTTTTTTCCTTCCCTCCCTCCTTCACTTTCCTTTTCCTTCTTTCTTCCCTCCCTCCCTCCGCTCCCTCCTTCCCCTCCTTCTTTCCTTCCTTCCCTCCCTCATTTTCTTCCCCTTTCCTTCTTTCTCTCCTCCCTCCCTCCCTTTTTTCCTTCCTTCCCCTCTCCTTCTTTCCTCCTCCATACACCTATCTCCTTCCTCCCTTCTTTCTTTCTTTCCTTCCTTCCTTCCTTTCTCCCCTCCCTCCTTCCCTCTCATTTTCTTCCTTTCCTTCTTTCCCTCCTCCCTCCTTCTCTCCCTTCTTTCTTTCTTTCCTTCCCTCCCATCTCCTTCTTTCCTCCTCCGTACACCCATCCCCTTCCTCCTTTCTTTCCTTCCTTCCTCCCTTCCTCCCCTCCCTCTTTCCCTCTCATTTTCTTCCTTTCCTTCTTTCCCTCCTCCCTCCTTCTCTCCCTTCTTTCTTTCCTTCCCTCCCATCTCCTTCTTTCCTCCTCCGTACACCCATCCCCTTCCTCCTTTCTTTCCTTCCTTCCTCCCTTCCTCCCCTCCCTCTTTCCCTCTCATTTTCTTCCTTTCCTTCTTTCTCTCCTCCCTCCCTCCCTTTTTTCCTTCCCCCCCATCTCCTTCTTTCCTCCTCCATACACCCATCTCCTTCCTCCCTTCTTTCTCCCCTCCCTCCTTCCCTCTCATTTTCTTCCTTTCCTTCTTTCCCTCCTCCCTCCTTCCCTTCTTTCTTTCTTTCCTTCCCTCCCATCTCCTTCTTTCCTCCTCCATACACCCATCTCCTTCCTCCCTTCTTTCTCCCCTCCCTCCTTCCCTCTCATTTTCTTCCTTTCCTTCTTTCCCTCCTCCCTCCTTCTCTCCCTTCTTTCTTTCCTTCCCTCCCATCTCCTTCTTTCCTCCTCCGTACACCCATCCCCTTCCTCCTTTCTTTCCTTCCTTCCTCCCTTCCTCCCCTCCCTCTTTCCCTCTCATTTTCTTACCCTTTTCTTCTTTCTCTTCTCCTTTCTTTCTTTCCTTCCTTCCCTCCCATCTCCTTCTTTCCCCCTCCCTACACCCATCTTCCTCCCTCCCTTCTCTCCTTCTTTCTCCATCTTTTCTTCCTTCCTTCCCTATCCCTCTCCTGGCTTCCTTCAACCTTTTCTGGCCACAGCTGTGAAGCGAACGTCCGCAGTGGTTAAGTTAGGAACACGGTTGTTAAGTGAATCGCCGTACTTGTCAGGTTAGGAACATGGTTGTTAAGTGAATCCAGCTTCCCCATGGATTTTGCTCGTCGGAAGGTCGCCAAAGGGGAATTGCGTCACCCCGGGACATTGCAACCGTCATAAATGTGAGTCAGTTCCCAAGCGCCTGAATTTTGACCACGTGGCCAGGGGAGGCTGCGACGGTCGTAAGTGTGA